AAAATTCAAGTTCTGGTTCTAGAGATGTGAGGTTGGGCCTGAGATTCTCATTGCCAGCAAGTTCCCTTGCAGTGCTAATGAGCTAACCAGGAGCCACTCTTAGAAGAAAAGGAAGACATCTACAGAGGGAAGATAATTTTCAATATCAATCTTTTCCTCTCCTGGATTAAAAACAATTCAGAATGTATTTATTATATATCTTTGTGTGTCTGTATATGATAGTTGCAAAGACTTCAATGACTGGCCACAGTAAATGAGCACATTTAAATTATCCATGTATCAACTGCATATAAATTTTTAAAAAGATTATTTGTGTATGTGTGTGTGCATGAGTTTCTGTGCACTATGTGTGTGTAAGTACCCATAGAGGCCAGAAAAGGGCACCACATTCTCTGGAAGTGGAGTTGTAGGTAGTTATGAGCTGCCAGGTGTGGGTTCTGGAAACTAAGTTTGAGTCCTCTGCAAGACCCAGAATGTAAGTACTGTTAACTGCTGAGCCATTTCTCCAGCCCTTGTGTATCAACTTCTGATGTAGTAAGATAGTGGTACCTGTGGGATGCTGAAGAGTGAGCAAATTTCAGTTCAGAAGGCCTTCTTAAGTGTATCAACCAAGAAAAAAAGACACATAACACAGAGGAGGCAACAGCAGGCTGCAAGGTTCTGAGAAGCAATTACTCTCTTATCTCTCTTGTGTTTATTAACTCTTCCCTTTTCATGGGTATTCTGATAGGTAGGTGTTGCTACACCCATTTTATAAAGACATAGGTTAAAGAGATTGCGTGACCCAGTTGGTATGGAGAGGATTCAGATTCAGATCTGTTTAAAGACTCATGCATCTGTGCATCTTTTGCATATCCATTCTCCTACTTCAGCATCCTGTGAAGGTTCAGGGGACCACCTGAGAAGAAGCAGATAGAAAGGAGACACTCAGACAAGGCATATGAAGTTATTGGCACATGAGAAGGCCAAGCTAGGTTGGTCTGTAGCAGATGAAGAAGGCCAAGGCTAGGTTGGTCTGCAGCAGATGAAGAAGGCCAAGGTTAGGCTGGTCTGTAGCAGATGAAGGAGGCCAAGGATAGGTTGGTCTGTAGAAGACAAAGAAGAAGGGATTTGAATAGTTGAGAATGAGTTTTAACATGGACAGAAAATATGTTTTTTCATTCTAACATAGCTTTAGTGTGCAGTAATTGTTGAAATAGCAGGTCTGAGTTGACTGAACACTGCACATTCCAATAAAAGATCTGGCCTTTGGCTGACTCCTGGGAAACAACCTCCAAGCCCTTAGAATGTCCTGTCTGATAACAATGCCTTCCTGTGCCTGACGTATTTTGAATCACAGGAGATCATTTATGCAATATTGTGGTAGATGGTAGAGACCTTGACTGTGGGTCACCAGTTTTACCTCTGACTTGGTGTGGTGGTTTGAACGAGAATGTTCCCCATAGACTCACACTTCAACCATGCCTCGCCTACTCCAAGAAGGCCACACCTCCTCATCCTTCCCAAACAGTTTACCAAGTGGGGACTAAGCGTGAAAATATAAGACCCTATAGGGGCCATTCTCATTCAAGTCACCACATAAATCAAGTATCTTTTCTATTTTTTACTTTCGATTAACACGCATTAATTATAAATGATGATGGAGTTCCATGCGTCCTCCCTACAGCATGTGCTGATGAATCCCAGCTTCCCCTGCCCCCTGCTGTTACATATAGTAACACTACTGGGCTTTCTGCAGACCAGTTTCCTAGAAACCTACAGTCTTGCTACAGGAAGTTCATCACTGGAGGCAGGCTTTGAGCATGTATAGCATCACCCCGCATCTGGCTCTCTCTCTCTTCTTTGTGGTTGCTACTGAAGATAGAGATCTCTCAACTTCCTGCCCCTGCTGCCATTCCTGGTGCTTGCTGCCATGCTTCCCCACCATGATGGGCTTTATTCCTCTGGAACCAGACCCAAAACAATCCTTTTCTTTTATTATTTATTTATTTATTTATTTATTTATTTATTTTTGGGATTTTCGAGACAGGGTTTCTCCGTAGCTTTTGGTTCCTGTCCTGGAACTAGCTCTTGTAGACCAGGCTGAATCCCTTTCTTTTATAAATTGACTTTGGTCATGGTATTTTATTATAGTAAAAGTAACTAATACACAGGGCTGGAGATGAAGTCACATTGATGATCAACATTCTCAGAATCACCATGGAAATGTACCTCTGGCCTTGTCTATGAAGGTGTTTCCAGAAATGCTCTGCAGAGCAGGGGACACCCACTCTGAATGTGGGAGGCACCCTGCGGTGGGCTGGAGTCCTGGACAGCATGGTAAACAAAACAGAGAAAGTGAGCTGAGCGCTGTCGTTCCTTTCTCTATTTGGCCACTGTGGCGGAAGTGGGATCAGCTCCCTCATAGCCCCGCCACTATCTTCCCTTCGCTAGTGGGCTGTGCCCTGAAACTGTGAGCCGAAATAAACCCTTCCTTCCTTCCTAAAGTCACCTTTGTCAGGGATTGTGTCAACGCAGTAAGAAAAATAAGTAAGTAATAAAGTCGGGCGAGAGTCATGGGCAGTCCATGTTTCCCCAGTGGACACTTGAAATGCGCTGGAAGCGTAGGCACGCTCCGTGGTTGCCAGCTCTCCCTGGATGCTGTCATGAAGCACTGCTGAGAGAATTAAATGCTGTTTGTGAAATCTACCAGAGGAAGCAGCTGGAACGTGCATCTGGTCTCTCCTGAACTCTGTCCTGCGTGTCTTTGTTCCTTGCTAATTCGAATCTGTATCCTTCAAGCAAGTCCCTGAACCCAAGGATGGTTGGGGAGATTGCCGCAAAATGCTTAAAAGGTTTAACCCTAGCCAGTGAAGAGCAGCTTGAGTGGGTGAGTAAGGGAAGCCTTGGCTTTTTGAGTCGGTAAGTATTCACTGAGCAATTACTTACACCACGTATTATCGCACCAGAGTATGAAGATAAGCCCACATCCCTGCTCTTTAAGAGGGTCCTTTCCTCCACCAGCACTAACTACCACAGACACAGCAGGTGCTATGAGTCTGAGAGAAGGGCTTAGTGAGGAACATTCGGAGAAGGAAGTTTTCCCAGAGTGCCTCTCCAGGGACCACCCTGAGTATTCTGTGACTTTGGTTATAGATGCTGGAGCTAGCTACCTTTCTGCAATGACTTAACAACGCTCACCCTAGGGACATGTATGCCTGAAGGCACTGGGACTGAGGTGATGGGGGCGGGGTTGGGGGGAGGTCTCTCCTACAAACCCAGTTCTCTCCTGAACCCAGTGGGCTACATAATTCATCACAGACACAGAAATCAAAGTTGTGTTTTATTGGAGAAAGAAGGAGAACAGAGTGTTATGGTCTTTGAGGCTTCCCCGGGTAGTCCACTCAGCACTGCCTGGGGTATTCCGCCTTCCATAGCTGCTGCCGCCACCCACCCCTCAGGTCCGAATGCTGCCACACTAAAGTCATGTGACCTGGGAAATGCAGGTTCCCTGTCCTCATGACCCCTGCTCAGTGGGGAAGAGGCCCTTCAATCCCGCATGCCTTCCCTCAGAGATGTTCACTTAAGATCAGTAATCTGTTCATGTTTGCCTCTTCTCTAAGCGACATCTCATCTATGATGAGTTAGGGAATGACCCTTGGGGATGTAGACTATGGTTTCTTCAGGTGTTTCTACACTCAGGATACCTTCCCCACGTCTATGACATTTCATTCTCCTCTGACCAGCATTTATTTTTGAAATTTTCTTCCATTTATTTTCATTACCCTCAAGATGCCTTCTTAAAAAAAAACCCAAGCCATTACTTTATTTTTATCAGATGAGAAGCATGCAGCTATGTAGTGAGCAAGCTGAGCCTTTCACTGTGTCCAGCATTGAACATACCTCCCCACAGAAGCCTCTAGCTATGGCTGCTCTCACAAAGGTCATGACTTGTAACACTGCCACTTGGGTACTCTGTGTGTACCTCTACAGAGACACAGTGAGGTTCCTCTCACTCAGGAATCCTTCCCTTTCCTGCAGGGTCCCACTCGAGGGGACTTCTTTCCCTCTTTGGCCACTCAGCTTCTGTTTCCGAGGAATAGTCTACTTCAAGGATTTGAGCGACAGTGTGAGCTACCTACCTAAAAGAGAAGCTGAATAGGACATACACTTTCCCTCCCTTCCTTCCATGGTGCACACACCTGGCATTGTAAATTAAAAGCTACCATCTTCACAAAGCAGTGACATGGGGACATGGGGAAATGGGGACAGGGGTAGCCATGCATCCCCAGGGCAGGAGAAGCAGGAAGACCAGCAGAGCAATCTGTGAAGCCCAGAGTCCAACAACTGCATCCCACTGGTCCAGATGACACTAGGATTGGAATCTGGCTACCCAGGCTTCTACCTGGCCATGTCTTTTCAGGAAACTCCTTTTCCACTTATACACTGGTTTCCTTCCTTGAAGCCCAGAGATACTGATGGAGAAATGAGACTCTTGCAAACCACTCACCCCCAATTACCTTTGCTTCCTCCCAGCTTTCCTTGTCACACGTGCTCTCGAGGGGCAGGTGGGCAGGGAGACAATGGGACTATAAGTTAGCGACCAAGCTAGGCAAAACTAAGAAAGTTCCCTCTTTGCTGGTATCTAGGAAATTGGTCAAGGGGCTGGGCCCTAACGAGCAATGGCAACATCTCATGGAGCCTTTGAATTTCTTGTTCTTAATGTCTGTGATGGGAGGATAAGGATCAATTTCTTCTTTTTTCTCCTTCAATCCTGCTGCCCAGTTTTGTCACTTCCCTAACCCTCAAAGCAAAGACCATAGGTCGGCACATTATTGAAATGTCTGTTGTCAGTTTCCTTCTGGATTAGAGCTTTCAGCTCGCTGTGCAGGAATCATATGGTTTGTTTCTCTACACACCCCCAGGGAACAAGACCGTTCTCCATGCAATACCGCAGTCTGTACCCTCCCCACTCCCACCATCCCCCAACAGATAGCAGACACGGCCTTCTAAAACACACAACATGGTCTTCTTTATTTAATTATTTAATCAGTTTACATTCCACAACTGACAGATTATTTGTTTTTATTTTTTCCATAAACAAGTCATTTAATTAATTACCAGACACTTTTTTTCTTCAATCGATGGAAATAACAAGATTTCTGCCAATTTGAAAAAGAAAATTGCAAGATGCAGTCAGTTTCAGTGAAGTTCCCAAACGCTCTCTGCTTCCTCAGTCCTTTCAAAGTCACAGGAACCTGGCAATTTCCCTTTTCATCCCCCCCTCCCACTTCCCTGGTTAAGTTCCTCTTAGAATATCACAAGAGTTTCGAGATCTGGTTTGGATCACCTTTCCTGTAATTAATTAATTATGAGAAGAAACAGACAGTACAATAGATCTGATAAGATGTAGCATTCTTGTTAAGATTAAACAATACATTTATTCACATCATATCAGAACAAATTAACATAATATTTAATCTTATTTTTAGCACCAATGACCACAGGAATTGCTACCTCCAAGGGGAGAGTCGTTGTTAGAATCCTGCAGTATACACCACACTGTGTCTAACCAATCAGAAAGCACTATGCAAATTAGAGTGAAGGTAAATAAATTTATATTGACTGAGCAATAATCTGGCGGACCATAAACTCGCCAGCTGTTTGAGAGTTTTGTCGGCGATAGGCCCCGTCTAATGACCACATTTAAAACGTACTCACCTAGTCAGCTCCCTTCCTCCTGCTCGGCAGCATAGGCCTCAGAAGGTTAGATTTTAAATGAATCAAGCCTTATCATACTGCTTCTTTGAAATGATTGGAGAATGCCCAGGGGCTTGCTTATATTTATTCTGTTCTATGCCCTAAGATCTCACTACCTGTCTTTTTCCCCCCACATGAAAGAGGCTTATTTAGACCTAAGGAAGATCTCTAAGCAGAAAGGAGAGGTAGGAAACGGTGGCTCCAGTTCTTGCGTAAGAACAGAACTGGTCGCTGCCACCTCCTAGGAGATACGGTCTGCCTGCTGCTCTTCTCCCATATCTCCTCTTCAGCATTCAAGATTTAAAAAGAAATTGGAGGATGGATCAAAGAGCTGCGAACATCAGTGAGATGTTCTTAGCAGGAGACTCCACCAGAAGTTAAGAGGTGGGGGAGATGTGTATTCTTAACAATGGGGAGGCCTGTCTATCCCTTATCACGAGATAAAAAGACATCTGGATAGATAGGGTGGGTGGTGGCTGACGCCCCTACCGCCAAAGGGCATGACCTGCGGTCCCCCAGGATTTCGACAGGTCACCAGGGCCATGTCCAGGGATAGCACTAACACCCCTTGAGGCAGATACAACATGTGGTAGGTTCACAGTAGTTCCCTGCCCCAGCTAAGCAGGTGAAGTAGAACTCCCAAAGGCGAGACAGCATCGTGGAGATGGCTCGGCTTCCTACTCAGCAAATCCAGCCCTCGCCTTTGACCCCCACAGAGAAATGCTCACCAATGAGCGATTTGCCAGCCAGGGCATTCTGCTCAGTCTCTGAAAAGCCTGTGTTTTCCTAGCCAGGTACCAGAAGCCTGATGCTACTTTTGAGCCCTAAAAATGTGGCTGAGTCAGTTGGAGATGTTTTCTCGGGGTAAGATTTACCTCGGTTTAGATTTTATGTGAACTAGCCAGCACATAAAGCATGCCAGTAACTTTGATATTGGGTTCAGGTCCAAGGGCTAAAAGTATGGAAATTAATTTCATCTGTTCTGTCGGTGCATTAAAATGCAGCTAGCAGGATATTTCAAATTGCATACATATCTTGTATCAAATTCTATTGGGCGGCAGAGGTCTAAATCACCTTCCTTGTACAAGTCTCAAAGGAGGTCACCAAGGTCCATCAGGGATGAGGAAGTTGTGGACTGGAGGAGCCTATACTCTTGAATGGAGGGGGTGCTGGCACAGGCCACATTTGTGTATCTCTTTGAGAAAACTATTCTTGTCTGGCAGTCACTTATACTCCGGGATTGATTACTGGTGCCCTGTGCTATCCTAATCCCTCTACTCCAGAATTCCTGCCTTGGGGCTATTTCTCTGCCATTCTGCTGAGGGGATTTTGGAAGCACAGAAATTTCTCCATTCCAAAGTTTTCTTTAAGTTCTAAGTTTGCCTAACCACGTGTTCTACCCACAGCCTCCACCCCAGTGCCAGAACCGCCTTTTTTCTCTCTTCCCATTTCGTCGTGCCCCCTGACCAGGCTCCACTTCTCTACAGAGTAAACCACGTTTGTGGAGCAAGCCACAGTTGGTAAAGCAACACGCATGCCTCATCTCCTTTGATGGTCTTTCTCCTACCACAGTCCTATGAGGCAAGGCTCTATCAACAGAGAGGGCACGATGAGACAATCGGAGTGGGTGGGAAAAGGCATCTGAGACCGAAAAGGTGGAGCAAAGGCTTTGGACTCTGTACACAAACGGGCTGCTGGCTTGCGGTTACTTTCTGAGGATTATCAGCTTGGGCCAAGAGCAGCGGGGAGAAAGCATCTCCTGATCCTGATTTCTCTCAATGCAACAGCCAGCATGGGCACAAATAGCAGCAGAATGGACAGGGGAGACCTGGTGTCCCATGAGTCCCCAAAGTCACCCTGCTCCCTATGAGGCTGTGAGGACATGGCGAGGTCACAAGATTCACCCAAGGCTCGAGGTGAACAAACTTTCTAATGTCACTCACTCCAGGTCAGGTCTTTGGGTTGACACTGGCCACGACCTTTGCTCTTCTTACTTTGAGGATATGCTTTGACTTGGGAGAAAATGACTTAACATTAAAGGCAAATGCCTTCAGAACAGAGAGTGCTTAGCAAGCAGGAGCAACTATCAGGAGAACAACCAGGAAACTCTCTCATAATGGGCCTCCCTCCCTTCAGGTGTCTCCAGGGCCAGGATCCTAGGGCAGTCCCCAGAAAACTGAGGGCTCTGTTTCAGCCTTTGAGGAGTTGCAATCTCCCTCCCCTTTATTTTCAGCTTTCACTTTTGTTTGTACATTTTTACAGATAGTCTTGGATCGAAACAGTCACACCATGGGCAGTGGGGTGGGGCAGGGGAGGGGCACAATGGCCTGAAGGCATGATCACACTCACGACACAGACACACCAGCACATACAAATGACAATGGGCCTAGGGGCCATCCCGAGAGGAAAGGAAAAGCTTGGGGCCTAGGGAAGAAAAATACGGGACATGGTCCCCCCACCCAGGGAGTCACACAGGCCTTAGGCATGAAGAGTAGTAGGCTGGCTTGCAGGTCAGGGAGGTGCCAGGCTGAGCTGTAGCTAGGTAACTCCTAAGTTGGGGTCCAGTTTTCTGTTTCTTGGCCCTGAACAAGCTACCTTGTACCCTTATGATTGGCTGGGCTCTAGTCATAGGGAGAGCAAGGACGTGTTATTCTCTGTTAGAAAGTTTCAGGGCAGGCAGGGAAGAAGAAAAGCATGGAGATTCTTTCGGGGGAATCTGTTCTTTTCCCTTTTAGAATCTAAGATCCAAGTGAGTTCATACTGGGAAATGTCCTAACTGGATATACCACGCAGAGGCCCTCCAACCAAAGCTCAGAGGCTATTGACGAAGCCACTAGCTTTGCAGCCTGACAAGAGGAAGTGGGCTCTCGCTCTGCCATGCTTATCCTCACTCTACACATGAGAGAACTTTAATAGCTTTAGGATCTGACTTTCCCCTAACATGAGCATGTACAGCCAGGAGTGAACCCAGAACTATTAAAACAAGCAGCACTATAAACTCCATGCCTGCTTTAGAGGTGAAATGTCAGAGCCCTCTGTGCTCTTAGCCTCTGCGTGGTCTCCTCGTTCTCCATCCCTTCTGGTAATAAGACTAAGCTACAGGGATGAGAGTGCACTTTGCAAAACTGGCCTTGGAGAAAAGGGCATGAGTCTGGCCATGGGTAACAAATACAAAGAAGGCGATTCCTCTGGAGGCCTTGAAGGAAGGCGTGAACCCCATGTACTTCAGCTGGGTAGCTACGCTCTAGCTCAGCAACCAAGATGCCCCCCCCCCCTCCATATCCCTCTTGGTAGCGCCTTGATGGATCCATTCCACCTTAGTGGCTGCGCTGCTGATAATGGGTAATTTGAACAGTGCGTAATTCATAGACACTTCATGTTTGCAAATCGCTCAGCAATTTCTTTGTCACCCTTAATGTACCATGAGGTAAAACGTTATCACCATCCTCATTTTGTAGACGAGGAAGTTCAAGTATAGAGAAGACACAGTGCCCAGAGTCACAAATCATTTTAGGACAGAGCAGAATGAAAGGTACAGCCACCGCTGCATTATACAAGTGTAGCTTAGTTAGTGAATGTGTACTCATGATTAGATTGAGATGGCACCTGAAACAAAAGGATAAGTAGGTGATAGAGAGATATAGATAGATAGATAGATAGATAGATAGATAGAGATAGATAGATGATAGATAGATAGATAGATAGATAGATAGATAATAGATAGATGATAGATAGATAGATAGATAGATAGATAGATAGATAGATAGATAGATAGATGATAGATAGATAGATAAGATAGATAGTCCTAAATAGAAATCTTTCCCTCTGGCCTGAGCTTTCGAAGGCCTCCTTGCTGTCCTTGGGACTTGTGTTGTTGCCAAGAACACAGAATCACTGATGCCAATCACAGTTCTGTGGCCATGCCATGTCCTCCCAGCCCCATTTATTCCCTCAGTGACAACCACTCACTGAAGAGGTTCTGAGGTTCTGGCCATTATGGCTGGGCCTCAGAGTGATGGGCAGCTTATGATCGGTCTCTCAGTCTTTTGTATGCTATTTTTTTTCTAGTTTTCTACAGTGAGCATGTATTCCTCGGAGGGGGGGTACTCAATAACTTGTAAAAATCTGGTCTAAGGACTAGGAACAATGTCAAAGAAATGTTTGGGGGCATAGACACATCAATGAAAAGATGGTAAACATAACCCCCAAAGTCAACAGTCTGAGAGACGTCAGGATCTTTTGTATGCATCTGCTCTGCTGAACTTGCTTTAAAAAATCCGTCCCTTTCCTCTGTCTGTGTGAGCTGGAAGACAGCACCAAGGCTGGTCCAGCTGAGCTCTGCTTCACCATTCCTGTCTGTGTGCTCAGTTCTTCTGACTCATCACGTTTCCCTGGAGAGGGATGGATGTGCTCACTGAGGCAAATCAGCCTAGGAGCAGCAGACACATTTTCAGAAAAGAAGATTGCCTTGAACTAGGAGAAGCAACCGCTAGTCCACATAAAGACAGAGGGTGTCTGGGTCGATCCCCACTTCTTCCACTACGTGACTGAAATCAGTGGATGGATGTTCCCAGCCTAAGACAGTTGAAGCCGAATGCTCTGAGCAATGAATTTGACTCCATTATTCCAAATTTTACTAGGCGGGCAGCTTTTGAGACCTCAATGGCACATCTTCCTGAAGTCAGGAGAACACATGCGGCATTTTCCTGTTAGGTCTCTTATCATATATATGGATGACCAAGGAAATGCAAAGTATTAGGGTACCCTCTCTTATGAAGGAAAAGTGACACATTTGGATAGAACCCTCACCTGAGGGACAATAAACCAGCATAGTGTCAGGGCCCAGGGAATCATTCAGGAACCTGAGGCTAAAGAGGGCTGATCTTCATCTGGAAGAGCTGTCTAGTTATGCTTTCGTGATCCCTAGAAGTGAGAAAGTGAAACAGACATTTTCTTCCTTATATTTTGATGTCAGTGATCCACACACATCCTTGTGAGACCTCAGGCCATGACAAACAAGGAGAAGGGGCTTGAAGTCCCTCTCCTCCCTAAGAAGGCAACTGTCACAAACTGATCATAAGGAAAGCCATAGGGAGAAGAAAATAGAAATGAACCATAACTCCGCAGCGAGGAATTACACTTTCTCCCAGCCAGGCCCCAACTTCCCCAAATCTCTGACTTAGGAGAGAGCGAGGAAATGAACAATGAATGTGGAAATTGCGCTCAGGCTGTTGGTTAGCACAGGGCCCACAGCACGTGCAATCACGGTCCTTGTACACACACAGCAGAAAGAATTTGACCTGGGTAGGAGCTGCAGGTCTCGCAGAGGCCACTGGCTCTCAGTCACCTCAGAAGGCTGGGGTCTATGATTTAGAGTTAGTGGAGTCCGAACTAGAGTGTGCCCCACACCAAGACTGCTCTGATTTTTCTTCTACTCACTCCCTAGCCACCTCACAGCCAGAAAATTACAGAATCTGTGTCAGAGTGGCTTATTCTAACCAGGGGTCAATAACCTGTGATGGAAGGCTCAGGCCACCTAGACAGAGATTGCTATCTCCCATCATTGTGGGGACTTCTGTCCTGATTGGGTGCCATGGCTTGTCTTTGTTGCTAAGTACTACAGACCCCAGCATGTGTGTATCTGTGTCTGTCTGGTAGGAATAATGACAAAGTGACCCTAAGGTCCTGTTCTGCCGATTGGGGTGGAATTAACTGAGCCAGAGACACTATCTCCTCACTGGGATCTGTCTATTATGTGCATGCTTCAAAGAAGCCAGTAAGTTTTATTAAGTTTGCCACAGAGTTGGGCAATTGGGTAGAGCAGATGATCTGTTTATGATGAATATGAATTATTTTTTTAAAGAAAACCAAGGCATAAAGGTATAAATGAGAGGTCTGTGAACTTGTTTGTTCAAACAAGTTTACTTAAGAGAAGTTTAAATAGTCAACAGCAAATTGTCCCATTTGGCTTAGCTTCCTCTGTCTTTTTGCAACTGCAAAAGAGCTGGAATTAATATTCCATTCCTAACAAGTTCTGTGCCTCAGTGGATGTTCAAGGACACCTGCTTGTCCCTGCCCAGGTCAAGATACTCTGGAGGAAGACAAAAGCCCTCTCAATCTGAGATACTTCCATTTTCCAGCCCCAAGAATGTCCTTCACCTTAAGAGAAAAATTTATCTTTTCAAAGGAAAAGAAAAAAACAAAATTCTCTGTTAAAAAAAAAACTGATTTTTTTTTTCTGAAGATTATTTCCCCTATCATGGAATACACTGTTTATCTTAAGAACAACTCTTAGAATCTCAGTTGGAAGCCAGCAGCATTCCCTAACACCCAGCTTGCCCCTGCTCTCCCGGCACCCCTACACTTGGGGTAGTCACATGTAAGACCTTCTGTAGGATCTGACCAGGGCCCTGATGAGGGAGTCTTGAGAAATGCATCCATACCTCTATATAGGTACACACACACACACACACACACTGCATCAGAAAGATGCACACAAAAAGTTACCCACATGAAGCCCATCAGACATCATTCCCTGATAGGATTACACACACACACACACACACACACACACACACACACACACACACACTGGGAGGGAGGGAGAGAGAGAGGGATAGAGGGAGAGAGAGAAGGGAAGAGGGAACAAGGGGGGAGAGGGAGAGAAAGGGCAGATGAGATGAATAACCTGGCAGGTTGGGGAAGGGGAGGGAACTGTTGGTAGGTGAGAGGGGAGGCATCTGGTAGGAAAAGAGGTCAGGAACAGGGAGCTGCAGTGGAGCACTTGAGGGAGGAAGGCTGCTGAGTGGTTGGCAATGTTCCCAAAGCAGACCCATTCTGCAGCAGCTGAGCTCCCCATCTGCATGGCTGACCACAGCTGCACCAGCTCAGGATTCTCTCCTTGCCTCCCCAGGGACGCTTGGCACCAGCAGGGTCCCCAAGGTAACCATGAGTTACTCCTGCCATGTGGCATTCACAGCTCCGGCTAACTTCACTTCACTTGCTAGCACTCAGTGCCAATTTGCTCAAGTGAGCTGGATGGTCTTGCTCCACCTCAGTTTCAGTGCTAGCCCCTAAAATAGATCACTATTTGGGGATTCGTGGCCTTAAAGATCAAGAGGAAAGGGACAAGAATGGAAAGAGTCGAGAATTCTCCATTAATTTACATAATATCATACAAACTTGAGCCCATGGGACATGGAGGTGCTCTCTCTGCATGTGGCCCATTTCCTGTCATCTGTACAGGGCTCACCCCTAGAAAAGGAGCAGATGTCCAGTGACAAAGGACAGCCCCCACGGCGGGGACCGAAGGTCTTGTTTGGTATATTTACTTGTACATCAGCAGCCAGAGGCAATATTCCTTCTCTTTCCCGATCTGTATGTTCCCCCTCTTCTCTTAGGACTTTTGTGCCCAGCTGTGTCTTGAGCTTCTGAAATTAGTGGACTATATCTTGCAGAGTTCCAGAACCGTACTGTGAAGTGCCACGGGGTTCTCTGGCCCAGTGGTTTTGTTCTTGGTTTTGCCCTCTGGGAATTTCAGTTGTACCAGAAATCATAGAAAAAGTGCAACACAAACAATAAAACCCCCACACTCAGGAAATATCCAGCATACATGCATGCACATACACATGTGTATGGGCACATACACACATACACGCACGCACACACATGCACACTTTTGTCTCTCTCCAGGGATCTGCAGCTGCTGCACTGGCCCCCATGAAGGCCTGCCTTTCAAGATAATTCCCGGATCTTGGAGCCTCCATAATGGGTCAAAAATAATAATAGTGAGAGAAAGAGAGACAACAGAATAAGATGATATTTCCATTCAAGGAGTGGAAAAGAAAAAGGTAACCACCCAACACCTATGCACACGTGCACACACACACGCGCGCACACACACACACACACACACATCACAGCATTGCTCAAAGGCTCCATCTGCCCAGAGAACGCAGGCAGGGGAGGACAGGGTGGCCTCTTGTTTAACTGGGTGTAAGGCAGCTGGAAGGTAAGACTGGGTTTTCTGAGCATCCACTGGAATGTCCTTTCGTTGATGCTGATCTTGCCTCTCAGCATGTTCTCTCCCCTTCCCACCTCTAAGACATTGTCCAAAGGTTTGGCCACAAAGAGAAAACTTCCTTCTCAGTCTGTTTTCTCTTCCACTCTTGGTGTGTCGCTGGCGGGCTGGGAAGGAGCTCAGAACAGAAAGGGCAGAGAAGTGGTTCTGAAAATGGCCTCCAAGATGTGGTTACATTCTATGAACTCAAGGGACTGAGTTTTCCCATGATATGATGGCTGGGGTGGTGGTGGCCTTTCCGGCTGGCCCAGAGAGTAGCGCTTCCTTCTCTGTATCTGTGTTGCTCCAGACCACTGCCTCTGTCCCTTCCAGTTCACCGCCACATCCTTATGAGTGACAGGGATCAAGATGCTAGTGCAGGTGGCGGCTTTCACTGTCTTGAAGAAAACATGAAGCCAAAGTCAAGAACTGATGAGAGAGAGCCACGGGATGGGAACCCTTTCCCATCTTGGAGATTAGGCAACACAAAGTCTGATGAGATGCAGGTGCCTGAGCCAACTCAACTCTACCTTGGCACTGGCATCATCTTGATTGAGTTTCATTTTATATATGTATATTATATATATATTTATATATATATATATGTATGGGTTTGTTTTTTAGCACACTGTCCCATTCTCTGGTCTGGATTTAGGGCAGTTGGTCCTCGGGACAGGTTGGACAGAGGGGGCCAAGGTACAGAAGAATCCCGAGATTAGTGTGAGGCCCAGGCCCCCCCACGCACAGAACATGGACCATCCATAGCCGTGGCTGATGTCATCCGGGAGTCCATATAGGTAGCGTGGGTAACGTGACAGCTCAAAGTTGATCCCAGCCACACAGGTGCACAGTGAAATGATGCAGAAGGTTCCTGGAGAAGAAGGGAGGAAACATGGGGCAGGGAAATGGAGAAGGAAAAGGAAGAAGGGAGGAAGAGAGAAGAGATGTTAGGATTGTCACCTTTGCGCTTCCTTAAGTGGGAGAGATGAGAAGATTCAGGGAAGAGTGGGCTGCCACCAAGGTCACCATCGAGAGAAGTTTAGGGGAGGGAGGCGCTATTGCTTTTGGATCCTTATCTTGGACAAAGTCAGGAAGTTGCTTCTTTGATAAAATACCCCAAATGAGTATCTCATTAGAGATTTATATAGGGTGGATGATTGCAGAATATTTACTTCTCTTTAATTAAGTATTTAAAATATGCTTCTTTCATCAAAAGTACAAATCATCCCATTTGGTGTAGCAATAAAAACATCTATTTTCATTCATATATACATAGCATCTTGTACAAATTTCAATATTCTTTCTTTAATCTAGTCACCAAAAACTCTGGCCATCCAGAGTTTTTTTTTTTTTAAACCTTCTCAGGTGCCTGGCACTTGAAAAATCTTTTCCACTTTCTAAGGCAACATTTCTGGAAAACGCCCCATGGAAAGCGAGCCCTTTAAGATATTCCTTTCCACTATGGATGGTGGTGAAGTCAAAACACGGGAACTCATACATATGCCTTCTCAGCTGCCACATCCACACGGGCACCGCTTATCTTATCCAACATGCTTCAATGAGAAATTTACTAATCCTATTTGATATTAGGATTCTCTCACCATATACATGCAAACACATATACAACATGTCATACATATTCCCCACATCAAATCAACCTCCAACTAGAAGATCACATTAGAAGAGGTGAAATGGGATAAAATGTTTCATAATCACAAACTCTGTTAAGCAATACCAATATTTGGTATTGCTAGAGTGAATTCAGTATTTGTGTTCACACATGCCTTATGTGACCCAAAGAAGCAGGTCTCTCTGGGTCAATGAGAAGAAGCAGGTGAGATAAACTTTCTCATAGGGAAGGAAAGGAGAGGCAGTATGCTATGTTTTCTATCCATTATGAGAAATTTTCTTGCTAACTGCTAGGTTTCTTTACAATCACTTTCTCTATTTTCTAGAAGGTTCCTGAAGAACAAGGGAAGAAATGCAGGGTAGGGCAATGAAGTTCCTAAGTTTGTGACCATTTATATGGCCACAGTAGTTGCAGCCATACTTAACAGTTAAGAAGTGTGTGACTAATTAAAGTGGAGTGCTCCATCACAAATGGGACATTTATACGGAAAGATTCTTAGAGCCAGAATTCAGGGAGGACTGAAGCACAACAGTGTTTTCTGGACATGCCAGGACTCAGGAGCTCACAGCCGCTGGGGTCCACCTGCACAAGACCAAGCCAAGCAACGTTCCAGCAAGAGAGGGAGAGGCTCACACTGCCCCTCCAAATGAGAAGCTATTGACGGCTTCTGGGGAGGAGAGAGAGTCTGTCCAGTAGGTCAACCACGCTCCAGCCGATAGTTTGCATCCATGAGTATGTGGCCGTGTAAACGGGACAATTTGAGTGAGTGAGAGAGCAAGAGAGAAGAGCGAGCATGAGCAAACAGGTATAGACTTGTGAGTGGGTGAGGAGGTGAGGGGGTGGTTCTGGGAGGAGCTAAGAGGAGAAGTGGGGGTGAGTAGAATGAAAATACACTGTATGAAATTGTCAGAGAATTACTAAAAATAATTGTGTTTTTAAAAGTGTTACGTGCCGGAAGTTAAATCACATGGTTGGCCTTGAATTCTTAACACAGTTCTGTTATATAGATTGCATCTTTATCTTTATCTCACTGACAAGGGAACGTCACACAGCAGGTAGACGGGAAGCCGGTGCCATCTCAGGGCAGCTAGATTTTAGCTTATAGTCTTATCCATCGCTCTTTTACTTTCTATTTTGGGAGGGGGTGGTTACTGGATATTAGCTTAGGGTTTCATGCATATGAAAGTACTCTATCGTTGAGCTATATCCAAGCTCTTTATATATATATATATATATATATATATATATATATATATATATATTAGACTTGCTAAGTTTCCAAGGCTGGATCTGAACTCATTCTGAGGCTCAGTCAGGTCTCAATTCTGGGATCTTCCTGCCTCAGCCAAGTAGCTAGGATGACATGTGTGTGACACTGTTTTCAGCTCTCTTGTGCTATTGAAGACTGGCACCAGGCAGCTGGCTCCTTCCTGTCCATCACCAATTGTCCACCCAAGTTCGGCTGCATTCCATGTTCTACCATATGGCTGCATGAGACTGACAGGACAGATGGTGAGCATCAGGAGAAAGGGTCAGCACAGAAGGGGAAGCGAGTGTAGCCAGGCGAAGTCCAGATCACAGAAGACCAAACATGAACAGGCAGTAAAGAGAAAATGTCTTCAATGTTATTCATAATCCAAGAATTAAACATTCAAAGCATAGGGGTTAGAGAGATGGCTAAGCAGTTAAAAGCACTCGCTGCTCATCCACAGGACCCAAGTTTGATTCCCAGCACCTGTTCGTCAACTCACAGCTACCTGTTCTACCTGTTTCAGGGGTCCTAGCTCTGCTCTCCAGTTTCCTAGGGTACAGCACTCATGCACATATACCCCACACGCAAATAAATAATAAAAAATAAATGTCAAAATCTTTTAAAAAAATTAAAGAAAAAAGAAAGCTCAAAGCACAGTGACAAAACATTTTTAAGTTAGTTTTGTTTTAGATTTTTTGATTCTCTCTCTTCTCTCTCTTTCCCTTTTTCCCTCCCTTCTCCCTCCCTCCCTCTCCCGCATCTCTCTATCTCCCATCCTGTGTGCACGTGTCTGTCCATCTGTCTCTGTTTCTGTCTCTGTCTCTCTCTCTCTCTCTCCCATCCTGTGTGTGCATGTGTGGGTCTGCCTGTTTCTGGGTCTGTCTGTCTGTCTCTCCAATTCCATGTGTGTGCGTATGTGTGTGAACATGTGTTTGCACATATATGTATATGTGCATGTGGAGACCAGAGGTCAACCTTGGATGTCAGGCCTTAGTCCCATTTGCTTTTCTTTCACATGTGATCTTTCACTGGTCTGGTGTGTGCTATGTATGCAAGGTTCTCTCTCTCTCTCTCTCTCTCCCTCTCTCAGAGAGGTATCTGCCTGTGTCTACCTCCCCAGTGCTGACATTACACGTAAGCTCCATGCCTAGCTTTTCCACCTGGGTTCTGGGGTGGAATGCATGTCCTCATGCTTATGTAGTAAGCATTTTAGCATTTTACTGACCAACTATGTGGTTTTGGTTTTTTGTTTGCTTTTGTGTTGGTTTTGTTGGTTGGTTTTTATCCTCTCCAAAACTAACAAAGGCACTGGAAGACAGACGATCCAGTAGCTCTATGGGAAATGTAGGCTACTGTTGCTGTACAGAGAATGATTGTTAAGACAGTCACGGTCATCCTTTTGATACAGTGATTTCTCACCTGAAAATGAAGACCTAGGTCTGAAGTTGTTTATGTGGCAAGGAGTGGCTGGGAAAGAGGGACCCACATGAGCTCAAATACTGTGTGAGTGCAGCCTCCGAGTGGAGAAGCTTGCCCTTTCTTAGAGGCACCCTATTGACTGCCACCTGTGTTTTCCAAGACCCTGAGAAGTACAAAGGACTATTGATTACAAGGAGGCAGCTAGGAGAAAGCCATGATCATCACAGAAGGTATGGGGCATTCTGGGGAGGTGGGAGCAAAGCTAAGAAACCCAGTGAACGGATAAGTCAATGACTGCTTCCCGAACGATCTGATCTTCTGCTTTTATGGGTCTTATTTTTATGAGTGTGTGTTTCATTGTGAACTTGTTTTTTTTTTTTTTTTTTTAGTCCCGTTTGTTTTCTATAAAGAAAGAGTTGGAGTTGGGTGGGTGGGCAGCTGGGGAGAATCTCGAAGGATTTAGGGGGAAACTGTGATAAGAACATATTGTATAAAAAGATTTTCTTCAATAAATGAGAAGAAACGATTGTGTGCCGAGACAATGGAAAGTAAGGCATCAGGACGACTTGAGCACAAATGCCATATGACTAAAATGCACGAGTATGTGCCACACTGTGAATACATGTGCTAGTGTGTTTATGTGCTTATGAATGCTCACATCAACACTTGAGTGCAAAGTGTGTATGCACGTGTTCGCAGTTCGCATGTCTATTTGTATGCCAGGCTCTCAGCTTGCGCATTCATGTCTATGGCAACAGCAACAGTACATATAAGTTTCGCTCATGGGAAAAGCAGCCCCAGACTGACAGGGGTCAGAAAGAGCCTGGTCCTGTGTCCTGGGGCTCAGAGGAGACTCTCTGGTGGCCCTTAGATGATAAAGTCTCAATATAGACTTTCCAGATCAGAATCTTTTGTTTGTAAGAAGAGGAAAGAGAGCTGTGTCTTGACACAAGTGTTACACACTCTAAATTCTAACAAATCAAAACTGCCTGCTTGGAAGTCTTCCAGTTGTTGACCCAGAAGCCCTGTCTGGGTGCAATTTGTAGAATTTTCTAACATGTAGGCTTAAGACATGTGCTGTTTTGAATCAGAATGTTTCCCCATAAGCTCAGATGCTCATACACTTGGTGTCACTGTTTGGGTAGGTTAAGGATATGTGATCTTGCTGAAGGAAATATGTCACTGGGGATGGGTTTTAAAGTTTAAAAGCCATGTGACATTTCCAGTTCTTTCTTTCTCTCTCTCTCTCTCTCTCTCTCTCTCTCTCTCTCTCTCTCTCTCTCTCTGCTTGTGCTTGCAGAATATCATCGTATCATCTGACAGTGGGGTAAGTTCAAATCTGACCTGCCTTTGGTTTGTTCTGGGCATTGGGAATCATGGATACAAACCAGGACAGAGAGTTCTGGGCTGGAGATGTGGACCAAGTCAGTATCTTATAAACTGAAGGTTTGGCAGTGTCAGGGGTCACAGAGGACTTTATATAAACTTCAGAAAACAGAGATGTCCCTTCTCAACAGCTTCCTCATGCCCCCCCCACTAAGCAAATGGAGGGACTTTTGCTGGGAGAGAA